TGGTGACCACCTTTGAGCTCCCTGGCTGCTACGACATGTGGACCGTCATCGCCCCTGTGCGTAAGGAGCAAGTAGGTGTACCCTGGGCGGGGCGGGGCGGGCAGCCCAGGGGCCCAGGACAGGGCCCTGCTGCTGTGTGGGGCGGGCATGCGGGCGGGCGGGCTTGCCCTGGGCTTGCCGGGGGTCTGCCCCCACCCCCCGCCACCGCAGGCGCCCCTGGCCGGCCGTGTGATTCCTGCTCGCCTGCCGCTGCCACAGGAGGAGACCCCCAAGGGCGAGGGGGCGGAGCAGGAGTCCAGTGCCCTGGAGGCCGAGGATGACGGACGGAGACACGGGTTCCTTATCCTGAGCCGGGAAGACTCCACCATGGTGAGGGGTGGGGGTCCGGTGGCCGCGCTGGGGTCCCCGCATGGGGTGTGCCTCATGCTCCCGTCGCCTACAGATCCTGCAGACGGGCCAGGAGATCATGGAGTTGGACACCAGTGGCTTTGCTACGCAGGGCCCCACAGTGTTTGCTGGCAACATCGGGGACAACCGCTACATCGTGCAGGTGTCGCCACTCGGCATCCGCTTGTTGGAAGGAGGTGGGCACAGCCAGGCGGCCGGGCTGGGGTGGTGGGCACTGACCACCGGGGCTGACCACCCGGTACCCACAGTGAACCAGCTGCACTTCATCCCCGTGGACCTGGGCTCCCCCATCGTGCAGTGCGCCGTGGCTGACCCCTACGTGGTCATCATGAGTGCCGAGGGCCATGTCACCATGTTCCTGCTCAAAAGCGACTCGTATGGGGGCCGTCACCACCGCCTGGCGCTGCACAAGCCCCCACTGCACCATGTAAGTGCTCTCCGGCCCCATGCCCACAGCCTGCTGACCCCCTGACCCCGTGCTGACCCCCCCTGCCCCCGCAGCAGTCCAAGGTGATCACGCTGTGCGTGTACCGAGACGTCAGCGGCATGTTTACAACGGAGAGCCGCCTGGGCGGGGCCCGCGATGAGCTGGGAGGCCGCAGCTGCTCGGAGGCCGAGGGCCAAGGCTCAGAAACCAGGTACGTGGGGGGGTACGTGGGGGCGCCCTGGGGCGGGGCAGGGGCAGGTCCCACGTCCGGCCACGCGTGACCCGCTTGCTGCCCCCGGCTCTAGCCCCACAGTGGATGATGAGGAGGAGATGCTGTACGGGGACTCGGGCTCCCTCTTCAGCCCCAGCAAGGAGGAGGCTCGCAGGAGCAGCCAGCCCCCTGCCGACCGGGACCCCACGCCGTTCCGGGCCGAGCCCACCCACTGGTGCCTGCTGGTGCGGGAGAACGGAACCATGGAGGTGCGTGAGGCCCCACGCCCTTGCTGCGCCCCGGCCCGGCCCTATGGTGCCAATCCCTCTCCCCCACAGATCTACCAGCTCCCCGACTGGCGGCTGGTGTTCCTGGTGAAGAACTTCCCCGTGGGGCAGCGTGTCCTGGTGGACAGCTCCTTTGGTCAGCCCACCACGCAGGCCGAGGCCCGAAAGGAGGAGGCCACACGCCAGGGGGAGCTGCCCCTGGTCAAGGAGGTGCTGCTGGTGGCGCTGGGGAGCCGCCAGAGCAGGCCCTACCTCCTGGTGAGTGTGGGCCCCCCGACCCCGGCCGGGCCCGGCCCCGCGCCCCCACTGACCCCGCGCCGCCCCCAGGTGCACGTGGACCAGGAGCTGCTCATCTACGAGGCCTTCCCCCACGACTCCCAGCTCGGCCAGGGAAACCTCAAAGTCCGATTCAAGAAGGTGCAGTGATGGGGCAGAGCTGGGCGGGGGGGCGGCTGTGGGGGGGGCACGACCCGCCCTCACGGAGCACGCGCGCCTCCCAGGTCCCTCACAACATCAACTTCCGGGAGAAGAAGCTGAAACCGTCCAAGAAGAAAGCAGAGGGCGGTGGTGCCGAGGAGGGGGCGGGGGCACGTGGCCGCGTGGCCCGGTTCCGGTACTTCGAGGACATTTACGGCTACTCGGGGGTAGGCTGGCGCCTTGGGGGGGTGGGGGGGGCCATGGGGGCCTCAGCTCACAGCGCCTGCCCTCAGGTGTTCATCTGTGGCCCCTCACCCCACTGGCTCCTGGTGACCGGCCGGGGGGCCCTGCGGCTGCACCCCATGGGCATCGACGGTCCCATCGACTCCTTTGCCCCGTTCCACAACATCAACTGCCCCCGGGGCTTCCTCTACTTCAACAGACAGGTGGGGAGGCCCCGGGGCTCGTGCCGCCCATTGCCCTGCCTGGGTCGGTGGGGATGGGGGGGCCCTGGGCTCCGTCTGGAGGGTCGGGGGGTGTCCAGCCGGTGAACAGGCCAAGGTCAAAGAGGTGAGATGCTGCAAAGGCCGGAGGGCTGAGCAGCCAGGGGCGGCGGGTTGTGGGGCTGGGGTCCCGTCACTGCCTGCAAGGAGCCGTGTGACCCTGGGGAGGCACTTGCCCTGTGAGCCCCTTCCCACCTGTGGTGCCAGCGTGGGCGCTCATGATGCCGTAGGTGCTGGCGAACCTCGCGCACGGGTGAGGGTGGCGGCTGGGGGCCCAGCGGCGCTCGCTCATCTGCGTGTGGCTGGCGGCCCACGAAGCACAGGAACCCGCCCCCCCCCCCCCCCCCCGCCCTGTGCAGTGTGAGGTATGCAGCCTGGCCTGCCCTTGGCGGCGCCGGACCCCGTTGACCCTGCCCCCGCCCCCCAGGGAGAGCTGCGGATCAGCGTCCTGCCTGCCTACCTGTCCTACGACGCCCCGTGGCCCGTCAGGAAGATTCCCCTACGCTGCACGGCGCACTACGTCGCTTATCATGTGGAGTCCAAGGTCTGACCCCGTCCCCTCAGGGCCGGGCACCCGCGGGGCGTGCCCTCCGCACCCTGTGACACGCCACGCCCTCCCAGGTGTACGCCGTGGCCACCAGCACCAACATGCCGTGCACCCGCATCCCGCGCATGACCGGAGAGGAGAAGGAGTTCGAGAACATCGAGAGAGGTGCGTGCCGCCCGCATGGGGCAGGCCGTGGGGGCCGCCCCCCCTGACCATCCCATGTCCTTGCAGATGACCGGTACATCCACCCGCAGCAGGAGGCCTTCTCCATCCAGCTCATCTCCCCGGTCAGCTGGGAGGCCATCCCCAACGCCAGGTGAGCGGGGCCCGGGGGCGGGGCGGGGTGGGGCGGTCAGCCGCGGTCAGCCCAGAGCTACACCCTCACCCGCCCTATGCAGGATCGAGCTGGAGGAGTGGGAGCATGTGACGTGCATGAAGACTGTGTCACTGCGCAGCGAGGAGACCGTGTCGGGCCTCAAGGGCTACGTGGCTGCCGGGACCTGCCTCATGCAGGGGGAGGAAGTCACGTGCCGAGGGCGGGTAAGGGGCCGGCGGGTCAGGGTGGGCAGCGCCCCGCAGCCCCATCACCCCCCGTCACCCCCCATGTCCTGCCCTCCTGCCCGGGCAGATCCTGATCATGGACGTGATCGAGGTGGTGCCCGAGCCTGGCCAGCCCCTGACCAAGAACAAGTTCAAGGTCCTGTACGAGAAGGAGCAGAAGGGGCCGGTGACGGCTCTGTGCCACTGCAATGGCCACCTGGTGTCCGCCATCGGCCAGAAGGTGCGCCCTCACCCCCCCCCCCCGCCCTGGGCCCTGCCGCCACCCCGCACATGTCACCCGCTTGTTCTGCCCCCAGATCTTCCTGTGGAGCCTGCGGGCCAGCGAGCTGACGGGCATGGCCTTCATCGACACCCAGCTCTACATCCACCAGATGATCAGCGTTAAGAACTTCATCCTGGCAGCAGACGTCATGAAGAGCATCTCGCTGCTGCGCTACCAGGAGGAGAGCAAGACGCTGAGCCTGGTGTCACGGGTACCCGAGGGGCCTCGGCGCCGTGTGGCGGGCGCTGGGCGGGTGCAGGGTGGGCGCTGGCCGCGGGCTGACCTGGACGGCCCCACTCCCCGTCCCCAGGATGCCAAGCCCCTGGAGGTGTACAGCGTGGACTTCATGGTGGACAACGCCCAGCTGGGCTTCCTCGGTGAGCAGGGGCCTGGGGTGGAGGGGCTGAGCTGCTGGGGGCGGCCGGGCTGACCCAAGCTCTGCTCCCCAGTGTCTGACCGTGACCGCAACCTCATGGTGTACATGTACCTGCCAGAAGGTGAGTATCCCTTCCCCGCTGGGGGCCCGGGGGCTGGGCAGCCGCTGACCTGAGCTCCCTCCGGCCTAGCCAAAGAGAGCTTCGGGGGCATGCGCCTGCTCCGGCGGGCGGACTTCCACGTGGGTGCCCACGTGAACACGTTCTGGAGGACCCCGTGCCGGGGGGCAGCGGAGGGACCCAGCAAGAAGTCGGTCGTGTGGGAGAACAAGCACATCACGTGGTTCGGTGAGCAGGGGGCAGGAGGGGGCAGCAGGGGCAGGTGTGTGGGGTCAGCCCGGCTCACGTGGCACTTCCTGCAGCCACACTGGATGGGGGCATCGGGCTCCTGCTGCCCATGCAGGAGAAGACGTACCGGCGGTTACTGATGCTGCAGAACGCGCTGACCACCATGCTGCCCCACCACGCCGGCCTCAACCCCAGGGCCTTCCGGTGAGTGTGCTCCCCCCACTACACCCCCGCCCCCCGTCCCCCGCCCACGTCCTGCTGCCTGACGGCCCGTGTCCCCCCAGGATGCTGCACGTAGACCGGCGTATCCTGCAGAATGCCGTGCGGAACGTCCTGGACGGGGAACTGCTCAACCGCTACCTGTACCTGAGCACCATGGAGCGCAGCGAGCTGGCCAAGAAGATCGGCACAACCCCGGACATTGTGAGGCCCTGGCCTGCCCCGCGTGGCCCCCCTCCCTGGTGGCCCGCCCCCACTCATCACACCCTTCCTTGCAGATCCTGGATGACCTTCTGGAGACGGACCGTGTCACCGCGCACTTCTAGACCCCACGTGCCGCCCCGACCTGACCCCTACCCCCACCCCTTTTTGTACAAAACACGAGGAAAAAGATGTTTGATTTAAGAAGAGCTTGTGGTCATTGTCGGGCATCCTGGCTGGGCTGTGGTCAGAGCCCTGCGGCGTCCCCCCACTTGAGCCCGCAGCCGCCCCAGTGCCCCTGGTCTTGGGGTATGCACTCCAGCCGTGGCCACCCTGGCAGTCCGATGCTGGATGAGCTCCGAGGTCACCCTCCTGCCCCGGGACTCCCTAGGTCTCCAAGAACTCCGAGAGCCCCTGGGTCTCGGGCAGGAGGCCCAGGCGGACCAGGAGCCGAACCAGGAGGGCGGTGAGCCGCATTGATAGGGTCTCCAGCCTGCGGTGGGAGGGCGGAGGGGTCACAGGTTGGTGGGGAGCAGGGCTCGGCCCCCTGCCCCAGGTGCCCGCCCCCTCCTCACCCCTCACCTTAGAGCCGCTTCAAACTTGAACGTCTCCCAGAGGACCTTGATGTGGCGCAGGAGGCTGGCGCCGTAGATGTTCTGATACGCTGCCCCTGCCAGGCGGCTCCAGCCCCTGACCGCACTGCCCGGAGACACGGTCAGCCCGAGGCTGGCCCCGGCCCTGGCCCCACCCCCGGGTCAGACCCCCGCCAGTGCCCACCTCTTGGCCATGAGAAAGTAGCGGTCGACGGGGGCGCCCAGGGTGGTGTTGATGGCGCGCACGGTGTTGATGTTGCGCAGCACGAGCAGCATGGGCCGCGGCAGGGCCTTGAGCACACCCATGATGTCCTCGAAGTGCTCCTGCGCCATGTTCTGCATGTAGGCGGCCTCCTCGCGGCTCAGCAGGTGTGAGCGCCACAGCTGCCCCAGGCGTACGGGCCGCTGCATGAGCACCTCGGAGAAGAGGAAGTAGTCTGGGGGGTGGGGGGGGCATGAGCCAGGACCGGGCACCCCTTGAGTCCCCACACCTGCATACCCGGCCTCACCTCGCACCCCAAGTGCCTCTGAGTGTGTCTTCATGGCGGCGTCATCCCTCAGGATGATGGCCCGCCACAGCTGGCACAGGGCTGCCCGGTCCCTAAGGGAGGCCAGCAGTGAGGCTGAGCAGCGGGGCTCCCGCCCCCCAGTTCCCGCCCCTGACCCCTGACCCCGCCGCCAGCTTACTTCTCATCCAGAAACTGGTAGAGCCCGTGGTCGAGCAGCACCAGCTGTGCCTTGCCGTCTGGGCCTTTCTGCACCAGAACTAGGGACACAGTGTGTTGGCTCCCGTCCCCCTCCCATGCCCTCCACCCCCAGGGGGGCTCCTCCTACCATTGCCAGGGTGGGGGTCAGAGTGGATGAAGCCCGTGTAAAATATCTGCTCCGCAAAGGCCTGGATGAGTTTCTCTGCTATCTGGGTAGAGAAGAGCACGGCACCACCATCGCCCTGTTCTCCAGGCCCCCCCGCCGACCCCCCACCCCGATGCACACGGCACTCACATCCTTCACCGCCAGCCCCATGGACTTGATGGCCTCCACGTCGTTGACCTTGCAGCCTTCACAGAATTCGGCCGTCAGCACACGCTGGGAGAGAGCAAGTGGCTGAGCTTGGCAGGGCTGTGCGTCCCCGCCCGGGAGGGGCCCAGCCCACCTTGCTGGACGTGTCCCAGTGCACGCGGGGCACCACAACGTAGCGGAAGTGCTGCAGCTCCCGGGCACAGCGCTCGGCATTCCGCCCCTCGTTCTCGAAGTCCAGCTCCTGGGCCAGGGTGCCCTTCAGGTCCTAGGGACCACAGGGGCAGCTGGGGGGTCCGGGCCGGGGAGCAGCCCACCCCAGCACGCGATGTGCACCCCCCATCGGCTCCAGCCTGTCTCTGGGCGGTGGTACCTGCAGCACCCAGCTGAAGCCGAAGCTGGGGTGCATGAGCTCGACAAGCTGCAGCAGGAGCTCCAGGGTGTGGATATCCCCGTCAAAGCGGTCCTGCAGATCGATGTACTGCACCTGCATTGGGAAGGGTGCGGGGAGGATCCAAGGCCACCCCAGCCCTAGCCCTAGCCCCCGCCCAGGCACAGAGCGGGCCTCCACATACCTTCACAGCCACCGCGGTGCCGTCGTGCAGCCTGGCGCGGTGCACCTGGGCCAGGCTCGCGGCAGCGATGGGCTGGTAGTCGAACTCCTGGAAGAGCTTGTGAGGCGGGGCCTGGAAGTCTTCGAGGAACAGCTCATCCACCTGCAGGAGAGGGTTCTGTAAGCAGTGGGGGGGCAGGGCGCTGCCAGGAACCCCGGCTCCCAGCCCAAGCACGGGACCCACCTCCTGGAAGCCCCGGGTGAGGGCTCTGTCCTCCAGCACACGCAGGGTCCTTATATACTCCGGGGGCAGCAGGTGGTTGAAGGAGCATAGCCCCTGGCCCAGCTTCACGTAGAGGCCTCCGTTTCTGATGGCCCCGGCCACCAGGGCATCAGCCGCCCGCTGGTGACACGCTGACATCACCTCCAGATACCCCGGGCTGTTCTGACCACAGGCACAGGACAGGGATGGGAGGATGGGGACAGGCGGGCACTGCCCAGGGCCCCCGACACCCGCCCGCTGCCCCACCCCCCCGCAGTGCCCCGGGGCTAGGGTGCAGGGACAAACCTCCTCCACCCCTCGCAGGACGACGTTTGCACACCACCAGTAGTCCAGGGAGATCTGCAGGCCTATCCTCAGCGACCTGTTGGCGGAGGCTGCCCTCAGCCACCCCGGGCCAGGCCATGGCGCCGAGGGGGCATGCGTGGGGGCGGCCGGGCCCAGGGTAGCCCGGCGGGCTGCTCTAGCTCCTGCTCTTGCCCGGCGCTGGCAGCGGGGCAGTCCCAGCTCCTGGTCTACACAGCGGGCGGCCCTGTGTCTGAACACGCACCACCAGGCACCCGGGATGGAGGGCCGGGCCCTGCCAACCAGGCTGCCATCAGCAGCCCCCGTTCGCAGAGGAGCCCCATGCACCAGGCTGTGGCCAGGCCGCCCCGGGGCCGGAGAGTGGAGGGGTGGCCCCTAGCACCCCAGCTGCAGGCCCTCGGGCTCCTGCGCCTCGAGGAGGCCGCTTGGGGAGCCAGACCTCCAGCTTCCTGCCGGGTGTTGCATAGGTTTGCCCGCAACCCCCCCACCCCCGCCGGGCATGTGTGGCCCCCATGGTGACGAGGTCAGCCTGCCGCACACCTGCCAAGCCACGCTCCACAGGCAGCCTCTGCCCACTCATCCCCACCTGACATGGGTGCCCTGAGCTCCCCGGTGGGGGGGAGGGGATAGCGCCCCCCCCCCCCCGTCCTGGGTAATTCAGCCCAAGAGGTAATAGCGGCCTGCGGAGGGGCGGCGGCGGTACTGTGTTTGGTGATGGTCAGGACTAAACTGCAGACGAGGGGAGCCAGGGTTCCCCAAGTTGGAGAAAGTTGTAGGAAGGGAGTAAAGAAGAACGACCTCTGTCAGCAAGTGTGTGAGTGCAAGGTGTGGGGCGCATGGCCAGACACGGCCGCAGGCCCACGCACCCCCTCAGCCTAGTCTGTGCAGGGCCTGCGGGTGCACCCGGGGCAGCGAGCACCCCAACACCCCATCGTGGTCAAGACCCTTCTCCACCCCAAGAAACCAGGCTCCCTGGAGGATGGCTGCATCCAGGCATGGGAAAGAACAAGATGAGCCCTGGAATGTCTCCTAGTACAAAATGGAATAAAATGCTCCAGAAACGGGAGACACAGTGAAAGGACTCGGGGAGCGGGAGTTAAAGATGTGATGGCAAAACGTGGTTCACTGCAGTGCTTCCAACTCCGTGGCTGTAAATTCTGTATGAGAAAATGGAGAGAAAAGGATCTACACTCGAAACTAACAGTACAGTGTATGTGAACTACTGGAATTTAAATAAAAACTTGGGAAAGCAAAGGATCACAGAAGTCCGGTTGAAGGGGCTCCCACTAGCCAATCCTAGACCGCCAGCAACAAAAAAATACCCGATGTCAACAGAGAGGAACTTACAGAATCAAGTGAAAAATCCACGAGTCCAGCCTGATTCAAATAAGTGGGGAGAAGAGACACAGTTCCAGACTGGAATGCGGCCAGCTAGTGTGGCCAGGAGCAAACCACACACAAACCCAACTGAGGGGCCCCAGAAGAGGTCGAGGTCAGCAGAATTCTCCTTTACAAAGTTAGATGGTAAATATTTTGGGCTTAGTGAGCCACACGGTCCCTGCTGTTGTTGTGACAGCAGCCGCAGGCATCACGGACACTGCATGGAGCACGGGTCCCAGAAAGCCGCGCGTATAAAACAGGCAGCGGCACGTCTGGCCATCGCTTGCCGCCCCCTGATGTACATCACCGGCCTACAGCCTCCCGGGGGGGCAAGGTCACCGGGTCACGGAGGGCGACCACCCAGCGAGGAAGGCCTGGCCTTTGCCCCACCTCCAGGCAGGTGGCCTCTGGGACCCCGGGGATTTCCTGAGTGATGGGCCCAGATCACCAGAAAGACTGGCCAGGGGACTAGGGACCTGGGGCTCGGCCCAGAGATGAGCCCAGCCGTGGAGGGAGGACAACGGCCCCATCCCTCCTGTAAGGAGGTGCCCCTGGGGCCGTGCACACGCAGCTCACCGATTGCGGCAGAAGCGGGGCTGTGCAGGGTCTCTGAGGACGGGGAACCCGACTGTGGGGCCCTGGCGGGGCCTCACCCTGCGCATCTCATCCTTGGCCTCACTGACTGGTTGTGTTTCTACTATGGTAACACCCGGTCCAGGGCTTAGCACGGGCCTGAGCTCTGCGATTCATCCTAGGGAACCGTCAAAACTGACAGCCCTGGGTGCGTAACGTTTGACCTCCAGTTTAGCTGTAAGGCCCAAGGAGACACGGGGACTGTTCTAGAGTGCAAGACATTGGAGATGGGCCTGGCATAGGATCCCTGTGCTGAGAAGGGTTCCTGCTGGGGGGCCTGGTGACAGGGGACTGCATGTAGGTAGGGGCTCATGATGCACTGGTGTCTCTTTGTTTTTCTAGGATTTTATTATTTATTCATGAGAGACACAGAGAGAGGCAGAGACACAGGCAGAGGGAGAAGCAGGCTCCCTGTGGATACCCGATGCGGGACTCAATCCTGGAACCCCAGGATCACGCCCTGAGCCCCCCAGGATCCCTGCACCAGTGTCCTGACTGCTTATGGAGAATGTCTTTGTCTAGGAACAAACTTGTAGGGACAATGGGGCCTCATGACAACTTATCTGTAGAGGGTTCAAGAAGAAAAATGTTGGGGCACCCTTGTGGCTCAGTGGTTAAACATCTGCCGTGGCTTAGGTGGTACCTCAGGGTCCTGGGATCGAGCCCAGTCAGGCTCTTGCTCAGCGGGGACCCTGCCTCTCCCCGGGCCTGCTGCTCTGCTTACTTGTGCTCTCTCTGCCAAATGAAAAAGTCTTTAAAAACAAAAAGAAACGGTCCAAAAAAAAAAACAAAAAAAAAACGAACAGCCCACAAGTTTCTGAAAAGGGAAAATTAAACAAGGGGTGGGGGTGAGAAAGGAAGGCCTCGACGCAGACTGCCCGCCGCTCTCCTCGGAGCCTTGACACGCATCTGATCTCTGCTCTCCTCAAGCAGCATCCCCCCCGGGGGACGGGCAAGTCCCGCTCCCCACCTGCCACCGTCCCGGGATCCTGCACGCACACAGCCCCTGGCTCCGGAGGCCCTGTGGCCACCGTGTGCCCGTCCTGCCCGGCCCTCGCGGCTAGGCCCATGGCTGACAACAGGCTGGGAAAAGCAGAGTCTAGCCGCACCCCTCCGCCCCAGCTCAGCCTGAGGGCTCGCTGCAGAAATACAGGCTCCCAGGAGCAGAGAAGGCGGTGCCACGCCTGCCACGGGGGCACCTGCCACGGTGCCTGACGTGGGTCCCTCGTGCCACACCCCCCACAGCAAGCCAGGCTCTGCCCTCATCAACCTCGGGCTGAGAGCCGGACAACTGTGCGGGAGAGCGCTCATGGCCCAGGGCCTGCCCGCGAGGGCAACCGGGTGCCCGAGGCCAGCCCACCACAGGGGCAGCGGGGTGCGTGGTGGCCACACGTCCCACTGCAACGTGATGGCCTGGTGTGTCCTCCCAGCAGGAAGCGGTCAAGCACTCACAGTCCAGACACCTATGGCCTCTGTTAGCACCGGTCTGAGGTGCCCGGCCTGAGCAGTCCCTCCACGAGGTCAGCCTGGGCCTCCTCCCCAGGTGGCCACGAGCTCCCCACTCCAGCCCCACCGTGAGTTTGGGTGGACTGAGGTCTCCCCCAAAGCCAAGAGCTGGCTCTTGGCCGTAGGGATTCCAGGATCTGACCAACAGCAGGGAGGTCTGTCCCAGGGGCCCCAACAGGAAGATCTCCCCCAAGGACACTGTGCTGGAAGACGGGGGGAGTACAAACAGCGCCTCCCGTCGAAGGCACCCTTGATGTTACTGACCACACGCTACCCATCTCCCGTGAGGTCCAGTGGGGGCGGAGGAGGGTGTCCTCCCCCCTCCCCCAAAGCCCTCCGGATGCCAACTCTCCTTGGGGGTCGGGGTGAGGAGGCGGCAGCGGCCCACCAGTGGGCGGAAGCCTGACGCAGGCGCCGCTCTCCTCCTCCAGCTGGCCACGGCTGTCTGACGGGTAAGAGGACACGTCCAGTGCACAAGGCTTGGGGCAGTGGAATGTCTGGAGGGCAGCTTGGAAGTTTCCAGCCAAACCCTGCAGCCCCTCCCAGCCCCTGGCCCCTTCTACCTGCTGAAGCGCCCCACGCCGTCCACTACAAGCCTCATCTTCCTCTTCTCCTGAGGCTCTGCTGTGAGATAGCGGGCTCCAAGAAGCAGGGGGACCCCCATCGCCGTGGCAGAGAGCACCTTCCTCCAGAGGGGCTTGGGTCGGAGGGGCCTGGACAGAGACCAAGGTGTGTGGTCCAGCTACTGGCCACTGCCCGCTGTCCACTGCCCACTGGGCCTGGGCTCTGCAGGCCTCTGCTCCCCACAGCGCAAGGGGCACCCACGGCCAAAGCCTGGCCCACCCCAGGGAGCTGTAGCAGCCAACACCGGTGCCAGAGGCCCATGAGGGCACTGCGCCTGAGCCCCACGGACGCCCTGGGCACCAGGCTCCACGGGAAGCAGCTCCCAGGCAAATCTGGGGTCCTCACAGAACCAGGGGCTCCTACACCATGCAGAGTTAAAGCCACTGTCCACCGTGAGGATGGCCCCCCGGGTGGCAAAGTGCCGGGCGGCAGAGCTGGGCAAGATACGCAGGGGACGGGTGCTACAGTGACAGCCCCGCAGGAGCCCAGCCATCACATGTCTGCCCCGAGGTCACTGAGCAGCACTGCACATTCAGACCGCTCACTCCACAGGCGCCAGGCCTGAGCGTGGCCTCCTGACACATCCACCTCGCCCCCGCCCCACGTCCAGGACTCTCCCCGGAGCACACAGCTCAGGCCGCTGCTGTCAGTGAGCCCTGCACCAGAATTCGGGGGCCCCGTGGGGGCACCGCCCCAAGGAGCAGGTGCATCTGTCTGCAGGGGGCGGGTCGCAAAGGCCAGCCTCGGGCCCCAGGACACAGGTCTTCCATCCCTGCCTGGCAGGGAGCACCTGGGGCCGGGGAGAACTCACCACCTCGTGGGCAGGACCCTGAGGCTTCTCCTGGGGAAGGCAGCGGGCGGCAGCCAGGGGTCCAGTGTGCTCCGCAGCAGGGCGGAGTGGAAGCCGCAGAGCCGTGACTGCAAGGGGGCAGACAGCAGGGGTCACATGGCCTGATCGGGGGGCAGGCTCTAGGCCCTGGATCCACGCGCGTTGTCCAAGCACGTCAGCCCTTCTAGGGCCCGTGCATGGGGCCAGGCTCCTGCACCGGACTCAGGAAGGCGAGGACAACCTCACTTCTGGAGGGCAGGCTGAGATCCAAGAACGACGCCATGGGCACCGGGAGCCGCTGCCTCGATGCACTGTGACCCTGCCTGCGACGCTCTCCTGACCCTGAGACCTATCGCTGTCTATTTTTGTGCTGCTCAGCCCACTGACCAGCAGCCTCAGGAAGTCATTCTGAATTTCCAAAGGCACGATCAATAAACGCTTGATGACACAATCAGAAAGATGTCGGGATGTCAGGCGGAAGACCACCTGCTAGGGCCCCAGAGGCGGAGACCGGAGGAGGCAGGGAGGGTCAGGGAGAAAATGTGGCCAGCCGGCCAGCAGCACCAGGGGGCCACGGCACGTGTTGGCTGACTCCAGTGACCACGGGGCACATGACTCTCCTGCACTTACTGACAACCTTGGTCTCCCAATGTCAGCTGATTGATTAGGTCTTAGGAGTTCCTCAAGCACAAATTTGCCAACCACAAATTCTCTTTTTAGGGAAAAAAAGGTTGTGCATACTAAGTCATGACCCACAGCACAGATGTTCCCATTATCATCATGAACCCTGGACCAAATGAAGGACTGACTTTCCAATCATTTTCTGGCCAAAGCACACAGCCCTGAAGACAGTTTCAAGGACTGCAAAACAACACAAAAGTCAAAGGAAAGGCTCCATGACCTCTTGTCCCGGGGAACGCAGGCTGACAGCTCGGCAAGGCCACGCGCAGCAGGCGCAGATCCTCAAGGAAACCCCACAGAGGCAAGAAAGGCAGCTGCCGGCAGACAGGTGAGCCCCTGGGCCAGAAGAGCCCCCGGCTTCCCGTGCAGGAGAGCAGGCCAGCACTCACCCCCTCCCACCCCCAGCCTGCCAGCAGCACCCACGGCATTTCTGGAGTGGGGAGAAGCCCCTGTGCTGGGAAACATCCCGTACGCTCATAGATGGGGGGCGTTGTGCTCAAGCAGAGTGAGCAGCAGGCAAGCTGGAGCCAGGCAGGGAATCCCAAGAGCCCTGGGGCTGCCTGCGGGGAGTGGGCAATGTGCTGGCAAGGGCAGCCCAGGAGGAGGGGGCTGGGTGATAGAGCCAAGCGGATTCCAGGCAGGTGTGAGGACCTGGCAAGATGGCCCATGGCTGGTGCCTGAGACCCGGGGAGGGTGGCGATGCTGTCACACCCCAGCTGCCCGAAACTCCGGCCAGGGAGGGCCGTGCTGGGATTCTAGTCGTCTCGAGAACTCAGGCCCACTGAATAAGAACTGACAACCACTGGCACCTGCCGGCCACCAGAGCTCAGCTCTCATGATCAGTGAGCCCGAGCACGTCCAACCAGTGGATCCAGGGTGGGGGCTTCCTCTAAACAGCAAGGCCTCCTCAGAAAGTCGTTAGAATCCATGAGTTGGGAACACTGGCTGGGCACAGCCACCTATCAGTTCTGCTTCTATCAACATTTGCAATTTTTTTACTTATTTATTTGAGAGAGAGAAAGCGAGGGAGCAGAGGGAGACAAGCTGACTCTCCACTGAGTGGGGAGCCCAACGTGGGGCTTGATCCCATAACCCTGAGATCATGACCTGAGCCGAAGCCAAGATATTGGACACTTAACCAACTGAGCCATGTAGGTGCCCCAATATTTGCAATTTTTTATAACAAGAAGTTAAATGATATTCAAAGAAAAAAAGTGGGAAGACAGTCATAGGCTGGGAGGCTGCACAGACACGATGCCCTGGCGCTGCTCGGGCAGAGGGAAAGCACCTGGAAGCACTCCTGCACAGTGAGCAGGGTGGGAACGACAGCCAGCCAGGAGTCCCCTCTCACGCTCCTCCGCGCCAGGGACAAGGTTCTCCTTTAGGGGATGCTCCTTGAAACGTTTAGAGATTGTGTCAAAATGTCTACAACTTACTTTCAAATGGTTCAATGACAACAAAATACATGGTTTCAAACAGAAACAGAAGCAACAGGACAAGACATTAATAATGGGTGGGTCTAGGCAGCGGGCACCTGGGCAGTTGACTGGGACCGTTAACGTCAGCTTGACCCCGTATTTAAATATTCTCAGGATCACAGCTGCACACGTCTGCTGTGCTACTGCAGGTCCCTGCCAGGAAGGTGGTGTTGCTTTATTATTCTACTGTTTCCTTTACAAACATACGGTTAACTGCAATCATGAAGGAAGCTTCGTATGGTTACAGAACCGACTAAACTATGAATCCCTTACTTCACATAGTCTAATACAAATACTTTTATCGGAGACCCCTGGGTGGCTCGGCGGTTTGGCGCCTGCTTTTGGCCAGAGCCTTTGGCCCAGATCCTGGAGACCTGGGATCGAGTCCCGTGTCGGGCTCCTGGCGTGGAGCCTGCTTCTCCCTCTGCCTGTGTCTCTGCCTCTCTCTCTCTATGTCTGTCATGAATGAATAAATAAAATATTTAAAAAAACAAACAAACAAACAAACAAAAAACAAATACTTTCATCGCCTCCCCCAGTTGCAAACACTTTAGTATACTGTCAATTCTATTTTAAGCTTCTTAACTTTTATTGTCACGCATTTTTAAAAATTATTTATTTAATTAATAATGCCCAGCACGGAGCCTGACGGGAGCTCAGTCTCACCAAGCATCCGTCACTCAACTGACTGAGCCACCCAAGCATCTCTAAAAGTCTGTTTCCTACTTTGTCTCTTATTCTTTCCTTTGCTTGTTTGTTTCTTAAATTCCACATATGAGCAACATCACATGGTACCTTTCTCTGACTTATTCTGCTTAGCAGTATCACTCTCTAGCTCCATCCGTGTTGTTGCAAATAGCAAAATTTAATTCCTTTTTATGGCTGAATAATATTCCACTGTATATATACCACTTTGTTATCCATTCGTCAGTCCATGAACACTTGGGCTGCTTCCACAGTTTGTTGTTGATAACGCTGCTGTAAACATAGGGTGCATGCAACTCTCTGAATTAGTGTTTTTGTGTTTTTGGGGTAAATTCCCAGCAGTGCAATTGCTGGGTCGTAGGGTAGCTCTATGTGTAACTTTGGAGGACCCTGCATACTGTTCTCCAGAGCAGCTGCACCAGCTTGCGTCCCCAACAGCAGCACACGAGGGCTCCTTCTCCACATCCTAGGAAGGTGGCATTCTGAAGGTGAGGCAGCTACGGCAGGGCAGGGGTACTCACCAGAGGTGACTGTGTGCCCAGGACATCTGGCACTGTCTAGAGACACTTAGTTGTCACAACCTGGGGAAAGGGGTGCTCTTGGCACTGAATGGGTGGAGACAAAGGCCACTGCTCAGCACAGACAGTGCCCAGGGCAGCCCCAGAGACTCAGGTAGAGCCAGGGCTGAGAAGTAGCAGACTATGAATGCAGACTTCTGAGCCTGGAATTGGAACAGAGGCTCTGGTAACTATTAGCTGTGCAGTGAGGACAAGCCACTTCCCTCCCTATACCTGTTTCACTGTCTACAAAGCAAGGACTACTGTACTATTAATGTAGGGGTCAAGAGGACTGACCTTTGCAAAGCCCTCTTGCACAACTCCCAGCCCACACGGCAGGCCAAGCAGATGGACACGCTGAGGGTATGCAGGGGTCAAGGAGCAGCTACTCCACGGCCTTCCTGCTCACCAGCTGCTGGTCTGCATGCCCTTACTCCCCGGCCAACAGCCGTGTCCTCAAGCCAACTCCACCCAACATGAAGAAGTCCATACTTACTAGATTAAATTGAACTGTTTATGTTAAAAGATCATCAGCTTCCCACCACTTTTTCCAAAGGAAAAAAAGCATTTAGCCCAGAACACAAAAGAGACTATTTCCAACATGTGTAAAACTCAGAGACAGGATCCCTGGGTGGCTCAGTGGTTTGGCGCCTGCCTTTGGCCCAGGGCGCGATCCTGGAGTCCTGGGATCAAGTCCCACATCCGGCTCCTGGCATGGGGCCTGCTTCTCCCTCCTCCTGTGTCTCTGCCTCTCTCTCTCTCTATCATAAATAATAAATAAATTAATTAATTAAAAAAACAAACTCAGAGACAGGTTATATACAGGATATGAAGAAATGCTTTAGTTGACTGGGGCAGAAGGGCAGGAGCAAGTCAAAGGACAGCAGGGTTTGCTGCAAAGTTGCAGTGGTGTTCGTATGTCCAGAAGCTGCATCGCTGGGGACAAGAAGGGCAACGGCCAAAGCTGATGGACAATGATTATCCTGAGATGTTAGCATTCACAAGGAAAGGAAACTTCCAGGAGCTATGCAAGCTAATGAACTGGAGACGCAGAGCAAAAGGTCAGGCCCCGAGGACAGAGGCGGGAGCCAGGGCGTGGCTGCCCCCAAGACCGGGGCTCACCTCAGCATCACAAGAGCCCCAGGCCCCCCAGATGGAGCAGAGAGAATGCTAACTCTGAGTTATCTTACACTGAAGCATGAGGCGCTGGCTGTACCCCAAGCCTCAGAGGGGGCAAGGCCAGAAAGGTCAGAGCCCCGGTTGCGGTCCCCAGTACTGGCTTCTGCTTTCGCAGATGCCACTGCAGCAGTGAGGACTCGATGGCGTCTCATTGCCTAATTCATTTCCCACAGTGTGCGACTCTCCACTCATGCTCCTGTAACAAAGGTCCTAGACCCCGACGGCCCACACAGCGCCAGACCCCAACCCAGCAGTCCTCTCTCACCCCCCATCCACCTGTGCAGAGGTCTCCGCCATACAGGAGCATGACTGTAAGTGTAGCCTGGACTGTGCAGGGCCCCCCATCATCTCTGCACTTCCCCCCACCTGTGCAGAGGTCTCCGCCATACAGGAGCATGACTGTAAGTGTAGCCTGGACTGTGCAGGGCCCCCCATCATCTCTGCACATCTCTGCACAGAACGCACTAGAGCCCACGTGGCCCAGCCTTGGATGCAAGGTGAGCGACACGCAGGAGTGCATGCTCAGGTAAGACCTGGCAGCAGCCCGACCCTGGGCAGGACCCCAAGGATAAGGCGGCATGCTGACAACTCCAGAGACCCGCCAGGGTCCGCAGGTCCATTCACGTCCTGCCTCCTTCCAGTTTGGGATTGCCAGTGCTCCTCAAAATATCTCCACCACCCAAGAGACATCCCTGAAGCCTGAAGAAGTCATGTGACTATAAATATGAGAAGAACTTGTAGCCCGATCTTCCAGGGACAAGTCCAGGGCAATTTCCAATATATCACATATCTCAGATCAAACCCAGAGCATGCCAGCAAACAGGCAAAGAGAGCGCTGCGGCTCCCCAGGCCGCTCCCCCACACACCAGTGCCTTCCACCAGCATGACCACATGCCCTGGCTTGCCTGGGACAGCCCGAGCCTATGCTTGTCTCCACACCTACCACTTCAAAGCCTTCCAGTTTGGACCAGATGAAATGGGCCTTCTCTACCCTAGCCTCTCATGCTTTCTTAGAGTGTGTGCACAGCTGTCTGCAGAAACAGAGCGCTCATCTGGAACCCAGCTAACACCCTACAAAGTAGCAAACACACTCACACACAAAGGCTCTGAGTAGTGAGACTCAAATAGATATGACAAAGGTCACCACCCTGTAGATGAGACTGAGCACATCAGAGGATGAAAGGTCAGTGCAGGAGACCCAGCCCATAGCACTAGAGAAACTAAAGCAGCACCTGCTGCGTCTCACGATGAGGCCCAGACCAGAAGAAGTACAGAGGTAACAAGAATCAGGGCCGCTTACTGGCAGGCTCAAGCTGCCCTGAGCACTTCAGTAGCACAGAAACCCGAGGCACAGAAACGTTCCCACAGGTAGGAAGTGAGCCTGGGAGGGAATCTGGGCCCAGGGGAGGTGGCCCAGAGGACCATGAATACCCGGCCCTTTTCTTTTCCAAGGGTCTATGACCCTCTTGGCATCATCAGGACTCAGACACTTACTGGACTCTGCTCCCCTTATCACTCTGAGCAGCTCATCAGAAGCTAAAACTTAAAAAAAAAAAAAAAAAAAAAAGCTAAAACTTACCTGCCCGATCCTTAGGGCAGTTGGGAAGATTAAGTGACCTGAATATGTGCACTTTGTAAGCTGTAAAGTGCTGTGCTAAAGCCAATTCAGTATCTATCCGCCTGCCTCTCACACTAACCTTGCCTCACTTCAGTCCATAAAACACCCTTGTGTAAGGGATCTGCTCATCGCAAGCCACAAAAATTAACAGAAATGCATCTGCACTTATGTGGAAAACCCAAAGACTCCACCCAAAAACTAAAACTCTTAAAGGAATTCAGTAACATGGAAGGATAGAAAATCAATGCACAGAAATCGATTGCATTTCTCTACACTAACAATGAGGCAGAAGAAAGAGAAATTAAGGAATCGATCCCATTTACAATTGCACCAAAAAATGGGGCAGCCCGGGTGGCTCAGTGGTTTAGTGCCACCTTCCACCTAGGGTGTGAGCCTGGAGACCCGGGATCGAGTCCCACGTCGGGCTCCCTACATGGAGCCTGCTTCTCCCTCTGCCTCTCTCTTTCCCTCTGTGTCTCTCATGAATAAATAAATTTTAAAAAATTGCACAAAAAGCCATAAAATACCTAGAAATAAACCTAACCAAAGAGGTAAAGGATCTGTACTCTATAGAACATTCTTGAAAGAAATTGAGGAAGACACAAAGAAACGGAAAAACATTCCATGTTCAGGGATTAGAAGAACAAATATTGTTAAAATGTCTATGCTACCCACAGCAATCTACACGTTCACTGCAATCCCTATCAAAACCCCATCAACATTCTTCACAGAGCTGGAACAAATAATCCTAAGATTTCCTTGGAACCAGAAAAACTCCCAAATAGTCAAAATAACGTTGAAGAAGAAAACCAAAGCTGGTGGCACCACAATGCCTGACTTCAAGCTGTCTTACAAAGCTATGATCAAGACAGTGTGGTAATGGCCCCAAATAAACACATAGATCAATGGAACAGCATAGAGAACCTAGAAATGGACCCTCAACTCTATGGCCAACTCACTTTTGACACAGTAGGAAAGACTATCCAATGGAACAAAGACAGTGTCTTCAACAAATGGTGCTGGGAACATTGGGCAGCCATGTGCAGAAGAATGAAACCGGACCATTTCCTTACACCACACACAAAAATAGACTCTAAATGGATGAGAGACCTAAATGTGAGACAGGAATCCATCAAAATCCTAGAGGAGAACACAGGCAGCAACCTCTGCGACCTCGGCCACAGGAACTTCTTACTAGACACGTCTCCAGAGGCAGGGGAAACAAAAGCAATAATGAACTATTGGGGCTTCATCAAGAAAGCAAGCTTCGGCCCAGCAAAGGAAGCCGTGGCCAAAACCAAAAGACAAGCTACAGAATGGGGAAGGTATTTGCACATGTCTTATCAGATTAAGGGCTGGTATCCGAGATCTATAAAGAACGTCTCAAACTTGACACCCAAAAAAACAAATGATCCAGTGAAGAAATGGGCAGAAGACACGAACAGACGTTTCTCCAAAGCAAACCTACACGTGGCCAACAGACACATGAAGAAATGCTCCACATCCCTCGGCATCAGGGAAATACAAATAGAACCACAGCGAGATCCCACCTCACACTGGCCAGAATGGCTAAAATCAGCAAGTCAGGAGACGGCAGGGGTTGGTGAGGATGAGGAGAAAGGGGGGCCCCCTGACCTGCTGGTGGGGATGCAGGCTGGGCAGCCGCTCTGGAGAGCAGTGAGGAGAGCCCTCAAGGGGCTGAATGTAGAGCTACCCTATGGCCCAGAAACGGCCCTACTGGGTACTTATCCACAGGACACAGACACGGTGATTCCAAGGGGCGCCTGCACCCCAACCTTTACAGCAGCAACGTCCACAAGAGTCCAAGTGTGGACAGAGCCCAGATGTCCATCGACAGATGAAGGGTAAAGACGTGGCCTATGTATACAACGGAGTGTGACTCAGCCGTCAGAAGAGTGAAATCTTACCACTTGTACAGCGTGGATGGAACTAGAGAGTATGATGCCGAGCGACATAAGTCAGTCAGAGAAACACAATTATGCCTTGACCTCACTTATATGTGGAATTTAAGAAACAAAACAGAGGATCATGGGGGGAGGGAGGGGAAAATACAGTAAGATGAACTCAGGGAGACAAACCACGAGAGACTCATAACTCTAGGAAACCAACTGAGGGTCACTAGAGGGGAGGCTGGGGCGACAGGGTGAGGGGGTGACGGGCACTAAGGAGGGCACGTGGTGGGATGAGCACTGGGCGCTGCGTGTAGCTCGTGAATCACTGACCCCTACCTTTGGAGCTAATGATACACTATATGTTAATTCAATTAAAATTAAAAGAAAGAAAGAAACACACCTGTACTGTCAACACCCAGACTACACGGCTTGGCCTACTAGCCCCGCATGAAACCCCAAGCTGGGAACGCTGGCGCGCCCCTCAGCCCATCAGCGGATCAGCTGCTCAGCCCCTCGGCCCCTCAGCCCGTCAGCGGATCAGCTGCTCAGCCCCTCGGCCCCTCGGCCCCTCAGCCCCTCGGCCCCTCATCCCCTCGGCCCCTCAGCCCCTCATCCCCTCGGCCCCTCAGCCCCTCAGCCGCTCAGCTCTCCAACGCGCGAGGAGGAGGAAGGGCTCCGGGCCGCAGTGCGATGCGGGCGGGCGCGGGGCGTCACTGCGGAGCCACGGCCGGTGCGAGGCCCGCGGCACAGGCGGGCCCGGGACACGAGCTGCACCGGCAGGTCCAGGTGCCCCGGGAGGTGCGGGCTGTGGCCGGTGACCGCGGGCTGCGGGCGGCCAGTCGGTGGGACCCAGCGGCCCCGCACGGTCCAGGCGTTCCTGTCCTGAGGACCGGGACCCTGAGGCCGGCCCGGGCGCGGGCGGCTTGGGGGCCCCGGGGGGCCGGGCGGAGGCTGGCGGGCTGTGCGGGGGCCGCGCCGCGCGGGGCGGGGAACTCACCGGCCGCCACATCTTCGCGCCGCACGGCTCCACTCGGCTCCCGGCGCCGGGCCCAGCAGCCCCTGCGGGGCGGGGCGCCCACAATGCGCACGCGCCGCCCGCCCCGACGGCGGTGGCCGGAGCCCGGAGGCCACGCCCCAGGGTGCCCGCGGCGGCGGAGGAGCAGCGCCCCCTGGCGGCCCCGCGGGCTGCTGACGGCCCGGCTCGCTCCCGCCCTCCGCGCTCGGGGCGCCCCGCTCCCGCCGGGGTCTTGTCCCCGCGCAGGGCCGCCGAGGCTCGGGCAGGGGCCGCACGGACCGGCAGCGGGAGCCCGGAGCGGCGGGGCGGCCCGCGCGCTCCCCACTCCGCGCCCTCCGTGGACCTCGCTCTCCTCGCTGCAGAATGAGGTTGGGGCCTTGTTCGTCCGACAGGAGCCGCGTCCCGAGGTGGGGGGTCGGGCACGCGGGTCTGGGTACCCTGCGGCGGCCGCCCGGGCCTGGCAGCCCTGCCTCACTGGACGGCTCCCGACGCTCGAGGCGCTGAAGCGGTCGGCGCTCCGGGCAGCCCTCCCGCGGCTCCCCCCCGCACCCCCCCGCCTCCAGGTGCCTTGGGACCCCCCTCCTCCAGGTGCCTCGGGACCCCCCTCCTCCAGGTGCCTCGGGACCCCCCCTCCAGGTGCCTCGGGCCCCCCCTCCTCCAGGTGCCTCGGGCCCCCCCCTCCAGGTGCCTCGGGATCCCCCTCCTCCCTCCTCCAGGTACCTCGCCCCCCCCCCCCGTCCAGGTGCCTCGAGCCCCCCCCTCCCCGTCCAGGTGCCTCGAGTCCCCCCTCCTCCCTCCTCCATGTGCCTCGAGCCCCACTCCCCCCCCCACCCCCCGTCCAGGTGCCTCGAGCCCCCCCACCTCCTCCAGGTGCTTCGGGCTCCCGCAGGCCCCACCCCCCACCCCACCCCCGCACCCTCCCTCCTCCAGGTGCCTCGAGCCCCCCCACCAAGCGCCTCGAGCCCCCTCTTCCCGCGGGGGCACCCGCTCCAGGTGCCTCGGGCTCCTGCGACCCCCCTCCCTCCCCGCGTGCTAACCACCCCCTCTCCTGTCCGGGAGGGCGCAGGTGCAGTCCGCCTCCGCCACCAGGGAATGCGCCAGCCCAGCCGTCCTGGGCCACGAGGGGCCTGTGTCCAGAATCACCTTGTCCCCGTTGTAACAAATGCTGGGCGCCTTCCCCGGATGAAGGCACGCGGCCGTCGCTCCAGGGCTTTCGCCTGCCTGGCAGGGAAGACAGGGACCCATCTGTCCTCTGCACGGCCCTGCCCCGGGCATCCAGGCCGCCTGACAGTGGATCCGGAGCTGTTCCCAGGTGCCCGCAATCTCCCCGCTAATCCTGTCGTGTGCGGCCACGCGGGTCCAGGAGCTAGTGCAGGCCACAGAGAGGTGCTTCGAGGGCGTCCGGGAAGTGACAGCAGCGGCGGAGAGTAGCCACTGGCCTCAGACACTGCTGGAAGCCTGGGCCAGCCGCCCTGGGGCTGGGACTGCAGTGGGTAGGGGCTTTCTTGCCCACTTTTAGGAAGCAAGGTACAGCCAGTTCCCACTCCCCAAATGGACGATCGGATGCACTCTGTTCTATCCTCACATCAAAGGCCCCTGTACTGACTGGGGCTTCTGTCCCAGGCAAAGGCCCCTGGACTGAATGGGGGGACCCCACCCCTCATGGTTCTATGTGAAGTCAGTTCCCCAAAACTGAGGTGGCTGGGCCCCAGGAGCGCTAAGAAAACCTCCCCTGAGTGACCGCTACTCCTGGTCCAAACCGCAGACACAATCACCCCAGCGCTGCCCATCAGCCCCCCACTGCCCAAGACACCTCCCAGATCTCCTGGCACCTCTGTGTTCCCAGGTCCTTGAGTCTACAAAACTTGTTTCTTATAAAAAATAAATAAATAAAATAAAAAAGTCTAAGTGTATTTACTAAGAAGAATGATTCTCACACATAAAACGAACATGTGTGTCGTGACTGAACAACATCCCTGCACAAAACACGTCCAAGTCCTCAGCTCTGCCAGTTGTGAGGTGACATTATTAGGAAACGGGGTAGTTGCAGGTGTCCTTGAGTAAAGTTCTCTGAAGAGATCATCCCGGAGGACGATGGGCCCTAAACCCAGGAGCTGACCTGACACAGAGGCAAGGCCGGCGTGAAGGCCGAGGTGGGGGCACAGTGATGCGCCCCCAAGCCCAGGGACGCCGGGATTGTGGCACCAACTGCGGGGGGAAGGACCTGGGAACGGGTCGCCCTCAACCTGCACAGCCCTGAGCTCAGGCTCGGGCCTCCAGTGCTCCAGTCGCTGTAACTGTAAGCCACCGGGTGTGCAGTAATTTGCTCCAGCATTCCTTTTTTTTTTTTTTTTTAAGATTTTATTTATTTATTCATGAGAAGAGAGAGGCCGAGACACAGGCAGAGGGAGAAGCAGGCCCCATGCAGGGAGCCGGACATGGGACTCAATCTGGGGACCCCGGGGTCATGCCCTGGGCGGAAGGCAGGTGCCAAACCGCTGAGCCCCCAGGGATCCCCTGCTCCAGCATTCCTAAAAACCTAGAACCATGCGGCAAAAGTCTCTTTAACTCATTAACCAGTGAGAGAACAAGGAAGCGATTACAAGTTCAAAAGCCACAAATTTATGTGGAGTAAAGGAATGATGACATGACTTTTTGGTTTGTTTTTAAAATTCAGTTTTCTAATCTGTAAAATAATGTGTTTATGACATTTACATTTTTAAGATGAATTTAAATATAGATGAAAATTGGCTTTTCCTATAGGAGAAAACAACTGAATCTCTACAGAACCATATTTGCAAATCTACAAAAAGGAAGTGTCTGGGGCACCTGGGTGGCTCAGTGGGTTCAGCGTCTGCCTTCAGCTCGGGTCATAATCTCTGGGTTCCAACTCAGGATGGAGCCCTGAGTTTGGCTCCCTGCTCAGCGTGGAGTTTGCTTCTCCCCCCACCCCTGCTCTCTCATGCGTGAGCACTCTCTTTCTTTCTCCGATAAATATTTTTTTAAAAGGAAGTATTTCTTTAAATAGTATTTCATAGGGCAGCCCCGTTGGCTCAGCGGTTTAGCGTTGCCTTCAGCGCAGGGCCTGATCCTGGAGACCCCGGATCGAGTCCCATGTTGGGCTCCCCGCAAGGAGCCTGCTTCTCCCTCTGCCTCTCTCTGTGTCTCATGAATAAATAAATAAAATAATAAAAATGCCATTAATGTATTTTGTTTATTCCTATAGTTTATTACTGTCTCCCCCCCACCTTCAATTAAATTCTTTTTTCAAATAAAAATCACTTTAGGCCATAAAACGAGGCTGGTTTCAATAAGTGTGACCCAGTTATTTATGTGAGTGTAGCAAGTGTCAAACTATAGGTTTGCTTCCCTCAAAGTTTTCAAAAGAAATCTCAGATTGATTTTCCAAATCCTGTATTATTCTCCCAGGGTGAGAAATACAATACCCATAATTTGTGTTAATTTCTATGTTCCTTCCTGTGACCAGGATCTCCACTCCTAGGAGGGTTTTGATCCTTTTCTTTTTGTGGATGAGTCTGGCTAAAGGTTTGTTAGTTTTGTTGATCTGTTCAAAGAACTAGCTCCTGTTCTATTGCTTTTTTGGTTTCTGTTTCTTTTACTTCTGCTCTACTCATTATTTTCTTCCTTCTACTGGTTTTGTATTTGTTCTTCTGTTTGTAGCTCTTTTAGGTATAAAGTCAGGTTGTTTGAGATTTTTCTTGTTTCTTAAGTTAGACCTGTACTGTTATGATCTCCCCTCTTAGATCAGTTTTGCTGCATCCCAAAGATTTTGGACCTTTGTGTTTTCATTTTTTTTAAGATTTTATTTATTCAAAAAAAAGATTTTATTTATTTATTCATAGAGACAGAGAGAGGGGGGCAGAAACACAGGCAGAGGGAGAAGCAGGCTCCATACAGGAAGCCCGACATGGGGCTCGATCCTGGGTCTCCAGGATCACACCCCAGGCTGCAGGCAGCACTAAACCACTGTGCCCAGGGGCTACCCTTCATTTTCATTTATCTCCACTTATTTTTAAAATTTCCTCTTTGATTTCTTATTTGACCCCTTTATTGGTTAGTAGCATGTTATTTAACTTCCATGTATTTGTGCTCTTTCCAGATTTTTTCATGTGGTTAATTTCTAGTTTCCTAGCTTTTTGTTTGGAAAATATGCATGGTATGACTTCAATCTTTTTTTATTTATTGAGACTTGTTATGTGACCCAGTATGTGATCTGTTCTGTTCTGGAGAATGTTCCATTTGCATTTGAAAATAATGTGTATTCCAGGGTTTTAGGATGGAATTTTCTGAATGATATCTGTTAGACCCATCTGGTCCAATGTGTCATCCAAAGCCACCGTTTCCTTGTTGATTTTCTGTTTGGATGAGCTGTCCATTGATGTCAGTGGAGTGTCGAAGTCCCCTACTATTATTGTATTAGACCGTTTATGTTTGCGATTAGATGCCTTATGTATTTGGGTGCTTCCATACTGGAGAAAAGAAGATGAACCTCTGCCACATGGTCCTACTTTTTTAGGAATTCTGGAACAAATTAGCACAAGAGTTATATCTTCCGGCTAGAGTGTCTCTTCTATGGTTATATAAGTGTTTTTCTGGGGATCCCTGGGTGGCACAGCGGTTTGGCACCTGCCTTTGGCCCAGGGCACGATCCTGGAGACCCGGGATCCAATCCCACGTAGGGCTCCCTGCATGGAGCCTGCTTCTCCCTCTGCCTGTGTCTCTGCCTCTCTCTCTCTCTCTCTCTGTGACTATCATAAATAAATAAAAATTTAAAAAAAAGTGTCTTTCTTTGTCTCTTGTTGCCGTCTGTTGTTTTTTTTTTTTTTGAGATTTTATTTATTTATTCATGAGAGACACACAGAGAGAAGCAGAGACACAGGCAGAGGGAGAAGCAGGTTCCACACAGGGAGCCTGACGTGGGACTCGATCCCGAGTCTCTAGGACCACATCCCAGGCCGAAGGCGGTGCTAAACTGGGCCACCGGGTCTGCCCTGTCTTGGCATTTTTGTTAAAAATCAATTAGCCATAAGTGTAA